AGAAGGGAATGACTGTAGAGGCCATTATGGGATAGTTAAGGAAAATTGAACGCAAATTGTATGTAGAAGAGTGTCCTTGTTCTTAGGGGATACATACTGAAGTACTTAAAATCAAATATCATGATATCTGCAACTAACTTTCAAATGGTTCAGCCAAATAATTATTATTTTATATAATAATTATATATTCACAATTTTAGTCAGTCGTGTGCCGGATAGATAGATAGAGCAAGATGGCAAAATATGAATAATTGGTAAAACTGGATAAATGGTATATGGGTACTCAGCATACTGATCTTTCTTTAGATTTTATTTTTTCCCAAAATATAAAGGGGTAGTAGAACATCACTTGAAGAATATTTTTCAGAATACGCATGCTTGTGTTGTAGCCCAAAATTAAGGAATCAAAACTTTTCTTGGGTGGGGCTTGGGAATCTGCATTTTAAAAGTTTTAGGACCCCAACTAAGAAACACCCCTGTGAAACTTCATTTCACACCCATCTCTGCCTCCTCTGGTTCCTGATTTCCTTCAGGACCCAAACCCTCAAGCTAGATTTTTTTTTTTTTTTGGTCAATGTTGAAAGCAGGTGCAGCAGGGATTGGGGATGGTGAGAAGAGCAACGAAATGAGGATACGTTCTGGAGTACTCCAACATTTATCGGTTGGGCAAAGGAAGAGAATTCCACGGCAGATCAGCAAGTAAGGGCCAGGGAAGTAAGATGGAAACCCCCAGAGTACGCGTACATACTCAAAGGAGGATAGAGATAGATGACAAATCATTCTAGGTGTGCCTATTCTAGATGTTGCATCAGGATGAGGAGACATAAATTGTTACATCAGTTCAGAAGTGGGTCATTTGGTGCCAGAGTAGATTTTCTGGGCAAGCCCCCTCTTCCTTCCAGCTGACAGTGTGTGCCACGGGACTGGCTGACAAATCCACCTGATATCTCAGACAGGAGAAAGTTCTTTTCCAAAAGGAAGGTCTTTGGGAGACAGATGCTACTAAGCCCTGGAGAGGAAGGTTAGCAGGTCAGGGTGTTTGCCTTTGCTTCTCCCTCCTGCTGAATTCTGGGATAAGATTTATAGTTCCTGGGAGGTGTTATGTGAAACCACTTCAGAGTCACAGAAAATACATCTATTTGACATTTGAGAGTAGGGGGGAGCGTGGAGTCTGGAATCTACTGCTCCTAGCATCGGGTGGCAGTGAGAGTGTTAATTACAGGCTGTGAGGCAAGGTACAGCCTTAAAGAAGGGAAGTAAAAACCTACCGCTCCCTCCTTCACCAATTGGCTCCATCACAGGTGGGTTTTCACAGCCCGAGGCATAAGGGGCACCCTTTAATCAATTAAATATATTAAAATGTTTTATAAATTATATTCCTAAACTCAACATATATTTTTGAGTACCTATTATATATGCCAAGACCTATTTTATGTACTACAGCGGGTGTGTTGGAAGGGTTGTCTGTATATGTGTATATGTGCATGTGCATGAATGCACGTGTTTGTAGTGGATGAAGAAAAGCCTTCTATTATTCATTTTTATTTGGATTAAATTAAGGATTTCTCATTCTTTTTATCTCTGATTTCTTTTAAAAACTCTGAGATATAATTCAAATATATTATTTGCTCATTTAAACTATACTACAATTTAATGGTTTTTAGTATATCACAGATATGTGTAACCATCACAGTCAATTTTAGAACATTTTCATCACCTCAGGAAGAAACTGTGTTGTTATCATCCCTCTATTTCCTCATTTCCTCCTCCCAGCCATAAAGAACTAATAATCTACTTTCTGTCTCTATAATTTCCTTATTCTGAACTTTTGCACGAATGGAATAATATGGTATGTGGTCTCTTGTGACTGGCTTCCTTCACTTAGCATAATATTTTAAGAATTGGAGCTTGTCAGGATGGCCGAGTGGTCTAAGGCGCCAGACTCAAGTGTTCGCTTCCCCTTTCCTAAACTGTTTGATTTGTTCCCTAAGTTTTTAAAGCAGGGACTTAATTTATTGTTGCTTTTTTTTTGTATTGATACATGCTTTCAGGACAAGACATTCTCTAAATACTACCTTGGCAATCTCCCATAAAGTGTTACTACCATATATAATGCCTTCCTCATTTTTCCTTTTGCCTCAAGTTCCATTATAGTTTGGCATGACACTTTTACTGATCTTCTGTATTACAATCAAGGAATTTTTTTGCATTAATTTTTTATTGAATTTATTTGGGTGACATTGGTTAATAAAATTACAATATATAGGTTTCTAGTGCACAGTTCTAAATAATATATCATCTGTGTATTGTATTGTGTGTTCACCACCCCAAGTCACATCTCCTTCCATCACCATTTATTCACCCTATACCCTCCTCCACCTCCCCTACCTCCTTTTTCTTTGATAATCGCCATACTGTTGTCTGTGTCTATGAGGTGGTTTTGTTTGTTTGTTTGTTTTTGCTTAATCCTTTTACCATTTTCACTCAGCTCCCCAACCCCCCTCCCTCTGACAGCTGTTATTCTGTTCTCTATCTGTGCTGTTTGTTTATTTTGTTCACTAGATTCCACAAATGAGTGAAATCGTATGGTACTTGTCTTTCCCTGACTGGTGTTAATTCTGATTTTTAAAAATAGTACATTAAAATATTATTTAGCTTGGTTATTGAGTTTTTGGTACCCCCTTAAAATTTACCCCTGAGGTTAGTGCCTCTAACACTTTACCTCAACCCAGTCCTGGCCCTGCAGTAATCTCCTGGATGAGTTCTGCTCATAAGTTTCTTTTAAAATGGATACCTGATGTTCAAATAGACTAAAATTGTCAGAGATACTAAACCAATTAATTACACCACCTGCCAGGAGATAATCATGATTTTCCTCTTTTTCTTCTTCTGTCTTCCCTTTTCTATCACATGTTGGGTTTTCAGCTCAGCAGAAGTCCATGTCTATTTCCAACTGTTGGCATTGAGCAAGGCCACATTGCTAATAGGTTGCCTGGGAGCACTTCTCCATTTAGAGAGGTGAAAGGCCAGGGTCTCACCCTCCAGGGATAAACCCCAAGACTGTTGAGTTGTTGCAGAGCCTTTTCAGGGCCCTTTGTGACCCAAAGTATTCCTTTCTCTCTTGGAGTCTGTCAATTATCTCTGGCAAAAATCAAGTTTCCTCACCTTAATCTTACCTCATCTACACAGGTTTCCCTGAGAAAGTTTGGAAAAGAAACTTTTAGAATCCTGAAGTATCAGAAATGGAAGGGCCCTTAGAGTTTATTTTGCCCCAATCTCCTTCATTTAACAGCACATATAACTTCCTGTGCTGTATTTCCACATTCCCAGGAATCCCTAATGCTGTCTCATAATAAAAATCAGGAGCAAGTCCAGAGCCAAGTTAATCAAGGAAGTGAACTACTATCAGCCCCAGTTGTGCTCAGGGAGGATTGAGTCATCAGAAACGCAGTGCTGGTTCTATGACTTGTTTATAAAGGATTTTCTTCAAAGACAAAGCGAAGGATCTGTGGTGGCTCAACTCCAAAGCCTTTCCTGGGGTGGGGTGTGACTGGGAAAGATTTGATTAGCTTTAATTTGGACTGGGGAGCTTTAAAGGTCCTGCTTTGAAAGGGCCTGCCTTTCCTTCTGACTGGTTCAGGCATTGTGAAGAAGCTGGTAAAGTTTGCCTCCATGCCTCTTACCTCCAGGCAAAGTGCAATTTTGCTTTCATTTTTAGAATGTATTAAGAGCACTTGCAACTGTGTTAGGATGGGCTTTGAGACGTACAGCTTCCTTCACATATCTACATTTGTAACAAGATTCACCTTGTGCAAAGCATCACATCCATTCCTCCAGCTTCAACAGTGAGGGTAATTTTTGGCTATATTTTACAGGCAAATGAAACAGGCTCAGAGCCTAGGTGACTCTGTAAGGCCATGCAGTTAGTAAGAGGCAAAAGCTATGGCTTTTGAATCCAGAAGGATGCCATGTCTTGTGCTTTTTCTATAAAGCCACAAGCACCTCAAAGGTGCCAAGGTATGTCACAGCAAACTAGGTAACGGAAGACCACAGGGTTGAAACCACTGTCTGGATCTGATCTGCAATGAATTCTAGCATTGAAATTAACTTCTGAGAAGCATACAAATAATCTAGAAACTTAGTGCTAGTCTCAAAGGACACAATGGAATTCCTGTATCGTGGCTATAAGGAATTTACCATTCTGTAGTTTATTTTTAGAAAAATTTTCTCTCAGACTGATAGAGGACAAGGAAATCTCAGCAGTTGAAGGAAATGACTTGTAAGGAAGCTTTATTCACATATGGGGGAGGATCAGATCCCATTGTAGTTCAGGATAGTAAATACTAAATAGGCATGGCTAAATAGTAAGCACTAAATAGTCATGTGCAGTAAACAAGGAGAGTGTGTGTTGCAAGGTGGGGGACGGTCACAATGTTCATGAGTAATATACTCACATCAGTTTGTGTTTTGTCTAAGCCAGCCCATCTGCAAACTCCTAACAAAAACCAAGAAAACTGCATCCTTGGGATTAGAGGAGAGATTATCAAGTTATATGTGTAATGTGGCAGAAAGAGGGAGACCACAGGTGGCAAACCTCTATATTGTAACACACATTATTTGGACAAACCATATTACTTAGATATTTGGACATGAGTTACACTTTTATGTCTTGGGTCTTCGCAAAATAACCCAAGGTCAGATCTGGACCCAAGTTCAACACTGTATCACCAGTCCTTGGAATTAGACCCACTACCCTATGTTGCCTCCGATATATCTTATTAAGAAAACAATGATACATTTTTTTAATTTTTTTTATTCATGTTGTTGCCTAGCTTATTTAACACCTTGTACTTGCACAGTCCAACTGCTCAGATGTATTGGGAAATACAATCGTGTAGCTTGTTGTTCAACTTGTCTAATGAAGGGGTGCCCAGATAGCATGGAATGCTGCTGTGGGGATGGGGGCGGGTAACTACAGGGGTGTTGAAGGAATTGTTAGTTCACAGGTTAGTGAGCAGCCAGTCCAGCAGTTGTTTTCTAGTCATGTTGCCAACGGCTTCATCCAGCTGTCGTTCCTTGGCAAACTTCATAACTTCTTGAAGGAGATCTCCGACACTGTATCCCTTCTCTGCTGCCTTAGCTGATACTTCTGGAAGCTGTGGCGAGAGCAGAGATATTTTGAATCATGTGAAACTTTTGGAGGTGGGACCCAGATGGAGAAAGTGAACTACCTCCCTTACCCAACTTTCCATCCATAATTCTAAGGTTAGAATAAAGCTGCCACAGACCCAGGACTGGCTTTCCTATCCTTTTTCCTTGACCCTCCTCTCCTTTTTCCTTGACCCACCTCTAATGTCATAGATCAAAATGAAAAATATACTTTCTTTTTGAGCATCAAAAAACAAATTCTGGAATCAGTTGTGTTTACTAAATACTTTTCACCAAGAGCTGAGTCCTTAGTTAGTCTGTGCTGATTGCTAGGTCAAGGTTAGGGGTTGTCATTCCCCACCTCCCTAAAACATATTTTATCAAATTGTTTAAAGGATCACTGACAAAACAAAGCTAATCTTACTCTCCTCTTCTTGGCTTAAATATACAGACCTTGAGGTGCCAGAGCCTCAATTAATGGTTCATCATTTTTGTGTCTTTTTATGAAGTGAAAGTAATTCATAAGGCACATGGTAAAGAGAAGATGAGAAAATTTTGGACTGTTCTTGAGCTCTAAGTACAATTTTGCCTCCCTGCCCATGTCAACTATCTTTCTTCTTGTGCTTTGTCACTGCTTACCTTCTCCAGTTGTCCATCATCATCTCCCATGAAATAAAGCATAGGCACATTAAATTGGGAGGCTGCAATCCACTGCAGGACAGCCTGGAGCTGCTTCTGCAAGCTACTTGTTGAGCACTGATTATTGATGATGACTTCTGGCCCAGGAAACTCTTGATTGTTCTGTGACATTGCACCTTCGTGACTACATCTGGGGCCACCAGGCTGGTAACTGGGGTTGTTTGTCAAGGCTGCTTGTTCTTCCAACTCAGCAAGGGCTTCCCTGTTGTTGCTATACTTAGCCATGATAAGGCACAGCTTCATCACAGATTCTACCAGTTGATCGATGAATTGCCGGTTCATTTGCTTCGTCCCACTGACAAAGTCAAATTCTGAATTGTCCTGAAATTGTTCTTCCCCTCTCTCGGACATGCAAGTTGCTTTGTTAGAATTGAACTCAGAAGGCTTGCTCTCAGCTTCATATTGCTCATCACTGTTGGAGGTGCTCTGACTGTCCCTGTTGAAGGTGCTCTCATTGAGCAGTTTCTGAATCAGTGACAGAACAATGTTTGACATATCTGTCTTTTGGCAGTCTGCCTGTTGAGCCTCCTTTACAGAGCTAGATGACCCAGGAGCTCCACGAGACTCTAAATGTTTCATTGAAAGTGCTTTAGCACTTTGGCCACTTGCATTCTTTTCGTATTGGGCACTCTGAGTCATATAACCCATGGTAGAACCAGGACAGTCTTCTTCAAGTGTATCTTTGCCCTTGGCCTGCTGGGTCAGGTGGTACTGAATCAGCATAAGGGCAGAGACAATCAAGTCCTTTGCCAGTGAATCTGTGGAAGGGCTAATCTTTTCTCTTTTTCCTTCCTTAATGGTGCATGCTTTGCCAGGCATCTTGCCTTGGTTTCCTTGTTTTTGGTTCCACATGGTCAGGCTCTCCTTGAGGATGTGTTCACCGACTCTCTCAGGACTAATCAAAGACTTGCACTCATCTGGTTTTATTTTGCATTTGTCCTTCCCCTTCATCTCAGCTTTCATGGAGGAGAATTCGAGACTTTGGTTTTTACTTTGGTTCTTGCATTTGAGGTCATGGGATCCGGCCTTCAAAGATGCATACAACAGACTCTGTGATTTAGTCTCTTTCTCTCCAAGCAGAGCAGTAACCAGGCGCTTCAGCATGGCCTCCATTATATCTGTAGCATTTTGCTTTCCATGGTTGAACAGATTCCTTTTGACAGCTGAGACAAAGTCAGAGTCAGTCATCAGGACCCCAGTGATATTATGCAGGTTCTTTAAGCAGGAGTCAATCAAGTCGGACACAATTTCCTTGGTGTGTTTTAACAACACCCTCTTTAGGACCACACAGGCAGGAATTGGCTTCCCAGAAGTATGCACTTTCAAGCTCTTCATAACAGAAACCATCATGTCAGATGCCACTTGATTTGCATAAACCATGAGCCCTTTACTGAGAGAGTCTGTAAATTCTTTGTTTTCTCTTTGGCACATCTGTTTGTCTCCCCCTTTGTTCTTGGTGGATAATTCACTATACATAAACGTTTTCCGGCCACCTTCCCTGCCCTCTTCCCCAGTACCCCGCATTTCTGCAGAGGTCATTTCTACAGCATCGTGGACCATTTCAGAAGCGATCTTGCTCACAGCACTGCGTGGGCTGTTTTTACCTTTGTCCCCAGAGGGTGGATAGCTTGAATGATGAAAGCACTTGCTTCCACTTTCCAACTTCTCCTTGATTTCCTTATGGGCCATCTGGATTACCAGATTAGATAGTCGGTTGACGTAGAAGGAAAGGTCATCCATGGAACATTCTCCCTCAGGAGAGATTACTGCTCTATGTGTGCTAGAAGATTTTGCTGAAGGGGTGGAAGGACTCTGGTTATTGTTGGTATTTTTGGCTGCTGTCATTTCTAGATGTAGACTTTGAGGTCTGTTGGCCGTATAATCGATGTTCAGTTGATCAGCATACACACTGTAGCAGTTTGCAGAGGGTATTTTGTGATGTTCATCTTCTGCATCTCCTATTTTATGTTTACAGCTAGAGGCTGCGGGGCTTAGTGCATGTTGGAAACCCAAGGCATACTTCTGGAGATCATTTAGAAGCCAATTTGGAACACTTATAGGATTAGAGGGAGCTTGTTTGAAAAGGCATACAGATCCCTCCATCTAAAAAAAAGAAGAACACCTAAGAGTTCGGGGAGGCTACTCTTTTCCTCTTATTTTATTTAGAAGATATGTCTTTCTAAACTGCACACATTAGGGATTTGGCCTTTAGAATTGGCATGGAAACATAATACATAATTATATCCATTAACAGACATTGGAGCACAAGTGGTAGCTTGTCAATTTCACCTGAGCATGTGTGCTTATCTCCATATGTGTCAAAAATAAGTCAATGTGTCTCATATGTGTGTATATTAATAACAATATAGCAATTCATAAGTGTGAACATCTCAGTAGATATGAGAACGTGTCAGTCTGTGTTGCTAGTGTCTGTGTGCATGTGCATGTCAGTGCACATGTATGGCTGACTATGTGTAAATGTGTCTAATAATGTGTTGACATCAATACCTATTCTATATGCCTACTATATGGGCTAGCATGTGCATGATAGTGTGTATGTCAGTGTGTCTCTGAATATGTAAGTGACAAGTGTCAATTTGTGTTATTTGCATATTTGTTTATAATACAAAGCCAATAGAATGTATCATGGAGCTACAAATATATTTATATGTTAAAGTATAAATTCACATGTTAACATATATACTCATTAATATATTAATGTATAAATATAAAATATATTAATAAATGTGTAAGTTAAAATATGAATGTGTTAATAGGTGATTGTATAATGACTGTTTATGTCAATAAACTGGGTATCAGTTTATATTATATTTATATGCTATGTCAATAATTGAGAATGTGTGTCTGTGTTGCACACATCTTGCATATTTAAGTTTGTATGTGAATACATGAGTGGCGATGTCATTGTATTTGTGTCAATGTGTATATCAATGCATTCAAATGTGTGTTAATGAATATGTGTCACTTTAAGTTTGTATGTGTGTGTATTAACATGAGGTATATTTACAGGGTGGGACAAAAGTAGGTTTACAGTTGTTTGTATAGATAATAATAAAATAATAAGTAATAATCCAAGAATAAACTCTGTTTTGCATACTCATAACTATAAACTTGCATTTGCCTCACCCTGTATAAGAGTGTATGCCTGTACCTGAATCTGTGTGGTCACTGTGTTTTCATCAAGGCTTGTGTGTGTATGTTTATGCATAGTGTGCACAGATGTGAATATGGATGTTTATGTGTCACACGTGGGTATGTCAATGCAGCTGAATCTATACCTTTGTATATGTAAGTCATTGTCTATGCATATATTTGTTGTGTCAATGTATATATATGTCAATGTATATATATACATATACATGTATACATATATATGTATACATGTATATGTATATATATACATTGATGTACACAGACATATATATTTGTTGTATCAATGCTTGTGTGTGTTTACCAGTATCACATGAAGACATGTAGCCAAGCATGTGTATATCATTGCATGTATAAATTATTTTGTGTATATTTATGTGTGTCAGTGTAAATTTATGTGTATATGCTCATGTCTAGACACATGTATATGTATTGTACATATCTCCTACTCAGTGCTAAGTTACCATTGCCTTTTTTCCCCTTCCATTGGTTCATCTCCTTTCTTTTCATTGAATTCCTAGGCATGTGAGGTCATGATAAGTTCAACATTTTGCAAATGGGCTTAGGTTACAATCAAGAAGATCTGTATTGTGTGTAGGAAATACGTGCTGCACTTTTAAAAATAGACATCAAGTATAATTTACCTCTTTCTTAAGACTTCAAAATAGAGTCCTCTCCCCAACTGAACCCTGTGTTTTCTTCCTTAAGAGCCACTTTCATCACTCCTAATGTGTCTGGGGCCAAAAATGTTGTTTCTGGTTATAACATGAGCATAGGGTGCAGAACAGAAAATATTTGACTTCTTTGAGCTAAAACCAAATATCTTGCTCTCCTATCAGCCATTTTAGGTTTGTAGGACTGTGAAGGTGACTTTTCATGGGCTCTAATGCCCATCCCAAACCAGGAACCTAACAGATATAATTTAGGATAGTTACACAAAAACAAAGGGACTTGCATATGATAGTGGTATGCAAATCTAATTGCTTCTAATTTTATGCTACCTAACAGTCTGTAGAATCTCTTAGATAACAGTGTTGAGGACCAGGCAACTATAATTCTTGGTCTTCATGTACACTCTGCTCTATATATCTTTCTTTTCTTTTTTGACATTGGGCAATGTGGGGCACATAAGTCCATTACAAGGCAAGAAAAAACACTATAAAGGGTCTTGTAAGCCCATATCTTTGTTAGGATAAGGATAACAGGATTCTGTTTGAAGTAAGTACCTGCAATCAAGAAAAGTTCATTCTGAGCTTCTGTAATTGTTAGATATCTGGGCTATAAATTTACCTTACTCTGAACTTAGGCCTGCGTTCTCTAGGATGCCATAGTAGTCAAATTCAGGGGCCTCTTTGACAACAGTGCTCTTACCATTTCTGGATCAGTCTTCAGACTCAAAACGGCTCTGGGAATTAGAAAGGGTGGACTCAGAGACTAAGTGTACCTTAGACTGGTTTTGCTTCTCAGTATCCTTGATTACAATAATTTCTGTTTCTTCTAGATGCTCCAGGGCTAAGTCACCACCTGAACTGGAACCACCAGCATCCTGTGGAATTAAGGGGTAAGATTCTTATGACTAGCACTGCTTTTTGAGATTTTTCCAAGCTGCCCTTTCCACCTGCTTCTACTTCAAAGCATGAATGTTGTAACTCTTATCTCTTTTCCTTTCAAAGGAGAAGTAGGCTTGTAATGTTAGCTAATCTTTGAAGAATGAGGTATTTTTCTCTCCACAATTACTACCCCTCCAGGGGTATGCACAAAGCCATGAATCTCAGGAATCATATTTCATTAATCATTGAACTTTTGGACAGTTTTTTTCACTGTTCTGACATGCTACCTTCCATGCTTTAGTATTTTCAGCCCTGCCAGCAACTTAAGTGCTTTCTAAAATGAGATTTGGTATCAAGAGTGACAGTTCTTAACCAGGGATTTTGGGCTCTCAAAAATGATGGCTGCTCACCTGAATGTCCTCCATTTTTCCATCCTCTGTCACAGCCTTTCCCTTTTATTATGATGTCACTAATAACACTTTCAGCAGTTTCTCACCTATTCTAACTCTGAGATAATACTCACCTTGGAACCTTTATCTTCCACATTGAGGGTGGACACATCGACAAAACATATCTGCATAAAATTAAGATAATGCATTTAGAAAAATTCTAGAGAAAAGGCTGCAAGTCTTCTTTGAGATGATAAAGCACCTACTGTATAGAGTTCTTGTGAGGATTGATTGAGAGATTGAGACAGCGCATGTAAAGCTTTTAGTAGAGTACCTATACATAGTAAGTAGTCAATAAATGTTATTTGGCAGAGAGAATCTTATCATTACTATATTTCCTAGATAAGAATATCTACCAGTTAGAGATTCCCAAAATACAATACCCACATTTATTGAGAAAGGAGAAAGGTGGCTTGCCCAACTGACAGAAACTCAAATGTGTCAGAATTCAATTCCCCAGCTCCTAGTTAGAGCAGTTTCAACTACCATAGTGTTCCCCAAATGTGGTATTTTTATACGATTGATGATATAGAAAACTGTAGGTGGTACATGGATAAACATTTCTGTGTTTAATATGTTTATTTTTTGTTGTTTAGTAAGAAAAATACATACTAAAACATCAAAAGTGTGATATTATGGATAATATTGCTTAAGCTGATGGTAATTTTTAAATGTAAGTCAATTTTTAAAAACATTGCAGAAGCACATATTAAATAAATAATACTTTGAATGGTACTTGAACATGATAAAAAATGTGAAGTACTACAGAAATCACTCAAAGTTTAAGAAACAAAGCATGAAACAAAGTATTTTGCCTTCTTGGAGGAGTCTCACTTTAGTGCAATTTCCTGGTAGCTGGGTGGTATTATTATGACTTCAGAGGTTAGGTAATAGAGGCTGGTAACTCGGCAACTGCCACTCCTCCCTCCACAGAGGCTTCACCAGGACCTCCCTCCCCTCTCCTTTACCACTCTTCATTCTGCCCCTCCCCTTGATTTGTCCCTCTGTGATGTATGAGCATACTGGTCCACCCACAGACTTTACTGAACTTGATATCTTGGAGAAATGACACTATAACTCTCCATTAGTCTATCCTAGGTTCCAGGATATCTATATCTATAAGACAATCCTTTCCACACCTTTGTAGGAGTAATTTTGTATCTTACCACTTTCCGTTCCTGTTCTTGCCGTTCTTTTGGGCTATACAGATCAACCTTGCACACACCCCTGGGGCTGTGTAACCAGTCAATATTATCAGACATCTGGAAAGGCAAAGAAAGATAATCTGAAAGGCTTATATGAAACTCATCTGTGTGTTTCATATTGGTTTAGGCTAGGAACTGGTGGGGTGAGTAGTGGGGAAAGGATTCTCTGAAGTCATCAGGATCATTTTAGCATAATTTCTTGGGAATCAAATTTAAAAGGAGGTGTAGAGAACATGGGGATTAACTTTAGAGATTTATTTCTCACCTGTCTCCACTTTCTTCACCACTCTTGAGTACCTTCAAAGAATCAAGATCACCTCATCCCCCTTACTTGAATTTTAGTTAGCCCCATTTCAACCAGAATCTTTCTTATATTAAAGGGAGCAAAATGGGAGAAATAGCTGTAACACTTACCATTTGGAGCCACTGGGAAAGACTATGGTAAGTACCATAGAGTGAATAGCCTTTCTAGTTAAAACAATGTATAAGATTCCAACATATAGAACAAGTTTCTGAATGCTGAGAAAATTCAGTCTAATAGCTATAAACAAGAGGCAAATGTCTGAGGGAAGACCAGACCCTGATACCATAGAGCCATATTTAATTTTAGTTTTAAAAGAATAATCTCTGCCAACTTCAACACCCCTGCCACCTCCCACTCCAACCCAGAAGTAAAAGTCAAAAGAAAGTGGCAAAAGCCCTGGTTGATTTTTGTTATCTAAGACAAAAGATCCACGTTGGGGAAGACACAGTTATGAGTTCAGTAGAGTTGTTTTAGTACCTGGTACTTGGATTTGTTAATTAACAAGAGAAACTTTCTGCCAAATATTAGAGGGCTGTTGAATTCCTTTCCTCCAACTTCCTTCAAAATTTAGATCTCTAGCTCTCTTCTCTTCCTATTTCTTTCTCCTCCCTTCCTCTCCTTCCCTCCTTCCATTTTTCTCTCCCTCATTTCCTCCCTCTTTCATTCTCTCTTCTCCTCTCTCTCCTTTCCTTCTCCCTCTCCCTCTTCCTCCTTTCCCATTTCCCTTTTCTCTTCTCCCCTCCCTCCCTCTCCCCTGCTTCTCCTCCCTCTCACTTCCTCTCTCTCTTCCATTCTTCCTCCCTCTCCTCCTCCTTCCCCCCCCTTCTGTACTCAGTTATCATTTCACCTGATAATACTACATCCCTACCCTTTATCACCCCCCCCCCAAGATCTTTAGGGCTCTCCTAAAGATTTAGGAAAAGGCTTCTCATGCCCTGAAAAGAGGGAGTTTCTTTTTTTCCAGAGCTAGAGATAGCTAGCCTAGAAACAAAGAGAGGGAGGCATAGAGGTCCCCTCATGACTAGATTCTAAAAAACTAAAAAAAAAATAAAATAAAATTCATAACTCATTACCTTGATAATGAAGTTCTTTTCTTCTTTTGGCTGAAAATGTGCCACCGAGAAGGGAGATGTGCCCCTTTAGATGGATATGGGCAGTGCCAAGTTCTTGGGCACCTGCAGCTGGCTGCTACCCTCGTCAGCAGTTGGACAAGACTGAAGGGCCAAGGCTTTTCCTGCTGCCTATGACCCTGAGGTATGACACCAGAGTTTGTTGGGTCACAATGCCTGAAACCATAGCAACCACAGCAAAGGTGTAGCAGGCTGGCAAACTCAATTCCCCTTCATATCAAAACCACCTCAGGCTGTCCGCTATATGACAATCTTCTGTTCTCTCTAGGAGGGTACATGTAATTCTTTCACATTTTGTCCAGTCCACAACACCTTGAAACCTCCTTTCTCTTTCTTCTTCTTGCTAGACTTCCAGAACAATATAATCATAGTTCCAGTTTGGTCTCTATTTTTTACAAAACAGTATTAATTTTCACATTTTAGCTTATTTTTCTTTGGTTTTCCCACTAGAAGTTCACAGTTACAAACAGAGAAATGTTGATCCAAGTCCTTTCTGAATATCCTCAATAAAAGTATGGAAATAGAAAGTTGGAGGCTGCCTTAGCAGCTTCTGTGGTTTTACCTCACTATTAAGACATCCCCTTAGCTCACCAAAATACAGTCAGAAGATGCCCCTACCTTTGTAATATCAGAGTAGGTTGTTTCATAAGACCTTGAAATAATTTTCCTTGTGAATTTCAGTGCTATGATGACCCTTCCAGTCTGACATAAGATGTTCTTTCTTTCCTCAACTCTCCATACTCTCCTAAAGTCTTAACCACCAGCCACTACTAGAACTTCTACTTCATGATATTGCTGTTTATTTCTATAGAACAAAGTGTGTTCTTAGGATTCTGGGTGCCTAACTGGTCCAACAAGCTCTAACCTCCATCATGAAACATTATTATCCCAGAATAAAAGCCAGTCCTCTTGGGACAAGGTCAGCCTTTCAGAGACTCCTCAAGCCATGAAAGGACTTGAGCCTCTCTTTACTCTTTTCCATTATAACCAGTGCTGGATTTCTGGCTACAGTATTCTTTAGAAGATTATCCATTACACTTTGATATGCCTTTAGTTTAGCCCCAGTTTGGAAACACTAGCCCACAACCAAATGACTCTCAGTGTGCCCTAGTCTTATTTTCTTTTCTCCTTGTCTTTTCTTCACGTGTCTCTGCTTTAACCTCATACATGAGAATAAATACATCTGAATTTTAAAAAATCAGCTGATATGACTCCCCTAAATAATACAGTTTCATATTCTTGGTCTACCTTCATTTGTTCTTTTCCGTGTACCCCTGAGATTGCATGTCTTAACCTTGTTGTACAGTCCTTATCTTTTTAATTCATGGCATCAAAGAGAAAAAGAGTTGGACATTTGTTAAAGGTGGCAAGATACATTTTATTCAGGCTACTGCAGTAGGAGAGAAACTTTAGATAATTAGAGCTCAACTCTACTGAAACAAAAGGCAGCAGCTTTTTAAATGTTGGGGTGTGCTAAAAGAAAAGTATTGAGGGAAATTTAGGGGTCTGAAGGAGGTTGATCAAGGTGATCAGGGCCTCTGTGTTTGTTAACTGGTGCTTATCAAAGTTAGAATCCTACTCTTCCATAGAGATTGGGAAACAGAGGCTCTGTCTTTCTTGATGATTACATTTCAAAAGGATGGCTCCAAGGTCCTTGAAACAGATATTTCTGGTTGTAGAAGATATATCTCAAAGGGACAGAGAAAGGATTTACAATCACAAGTTTTGTAAATGCTCTAAGGAAAGGGAGGTGAGGCAGGGGTCTACAATCAGGTTTTGGTGGAAACAGACAGGAAATTCTTTTGGCAATGTTGAACTTCCTCAGGAAGGTATATTAAGGAGGCTGGGGTCATCATTAGAAGGACGTGCCTCGAGCTGATAGAAACTATGCTGGTGTTTGTTTAAGTCTCTCTTTTCTTTCTTTCTTTTTTTATTTATAAATCATGTTTATTCTATTACAGTTGTTTCAGTTATTACCCCTTTACCCTCCTCCACCCAATGTTTAAGTCTCTTAATATAGGGAGATAAAATTCTTTGTCCCGAAAGTTGAAGTTTTTATAGGCCAAAGTTGAGGCCTAGTTGAGAAGAGGATTCAGAGAAGCCTGACTATATCAAATCATTATGTTATATACTTTAAATACACACAGTTGTTATTAAAAATGAATTTTGGTCAAGGAGGGAGTCTTTGTCAATAGTAATGGGCTAAAATCCACAGTACAAGACTTGTTTTTTTCTTTACCATCCTTTTGTCAAGGGGAACTTTTGATGTTTAACTTGGAGCTCCTGTGTCTGGCTCGTGTCTATGGAATAAGAAACAAAGAAAGAAAATGTTTATTTATCTCCAAGCACAAGAATGTATATCCTTAAGATTTAAAAAAAGAAAAAACCCTCTATGTTTCCCAGCCCAGAAGGGAAAAACTGTGATCTGGGCCTGGAAAATGTCTTACTAAATCCCCTAAATGACACATAAAACTATTATGGATGATTAGAGCCCTGTTCCATGGCACCCCACTCCTGTCATCCTGGAGGCTAACCAGGAGCAAACAAGAGCAGCATTTGGATGAGAAAATGTAAGGAATCTCAGTCATATGTTATAGTATATTCAATGCCTCTTCTTTCTCTTAAGCTGCTGAGACTCCCAGAGTGTCTTATATTGACTAGCAGTGGGGACAAATAGGGAAGAAAGGATGTTTAAAGAGCAAAAGAAAAAAAATGGAATATGCTTTATTAGTATGTGAATATATATGAAGTAGTATGCACTTAGGTTAGCCTTTAAGAGCCAAATATAGAGATGTTAAACACAGAAGCTTTGGTCACCTTTTTTTCCCCCTAACTACCATAATCCATTTTCTCACCTTGTTTATTCTATCCAAACATCTTCTCTTCCATGCAAACTTGTGAATAATCATACAAATCACACTTTAAATATGCTTTCATTTTGTATTTGGTTTGAAAGAGCTATTAAGATAATAAATATAGAACCTGCGTTTGTAATATAATTATTATGAATAATGGCAAAATGAAATTTAAATGAACTGAATTATCAGCTTTTATGAAATTACTGTCTGCCTGTTATCCCACTAAGTATCTTTCAGCCTCAGATTTAGCCTACCTAATTTAGTTTATGCAATGATACTGTGACCATTAGGTTTAATAAACTTTCTCTATTCTTGGATCACCTACACTGAAGCCTCCAGAGAAGGTTCTCTGTCTCTTTCTCTTTGTGTTCATCATGATACTGGACAATGGAGTTGGGCTCAAGGAACAAATGATGGTTTTGAAAGTTCAGGCAGGAAACATAATTTAGAAGCCATGGAATCATGGAATCTGAAATAATGACCAAAAAACCTTAGTTATTTGAGTGGACAGCATTCTTCATAAAGCAAAAATTCTCACACTTCACACATGCCTCAAAATCACTGGAGGGCTTATTAAAACAGATAGTTGGGTCCCATCCCAGAGTTTCTAATTCTGCAGGTCTGAACATTTGCCTGGTTTTGTGTTTTGCATGCATTATCTCATTTAATTCTCACACAGCCTGATGATATGTGTACTATTTTAATCCAGGTTTTATTAATGGCAAGCTGGAGCCCAGAGAGGCCATGTAATTGGTGGTTCGGCTACT